TCAGACTGTAGGTGCACTATCGGTGCAACAAGGAGGTATTGAGGCAGTTATAAAATACTATACAGGATCACTTATATCTCTGATGCTTCAGTTATCTGCAATATATCTGTCTCACGAATCCATAAAAAACCCAGTGTTATGACACAAGGTAGTATAAGCGAATTGACTGGGTCACAGAAGAGCCAAACATCAAACCCTCTAAAGAGGGAAAACTTTAGTGACTTCCTGTGAAATGATGCGCACTCCACGATGGAGGACAAGGAGTAGAATTATCGGTCAATTCGTCTTATTTTCAACCCGTATTCGTATGCAGTTTCAGCACACCAGAAAGGAGACAGCTGTTTGGTCATGAATATCTTCTGAATTTTCATGCAAACGTACGCAAAACATCTTTTCTATTGCGCCGAGCTAGCTGCATTAGGACGAGCATATAAGCTGCTGAGACAGTCTACCGCAAATCTTATGAGTGCAGCGAACATAAATCACGATGTCTCATGAAACGTGTGTTTCGTCACATCAGTGTCCTATGGTGAGTGCTTAGAATCATTCCAAATCAGACTTGATATAACCAAGAAACATTACTGAGTAATGCTATCACCGATTATGTAGTTGTAACAACAGAAGACAAGGGCCGGCAACAGATCGTTTTATTACGGAAATCAACACGTATTTATATATATATATTGCCTGTACATTAATATAGCTTATGCAAGTAGAAAATCGCAGGCTTCTGACTGGTTGTTTCGAGTAATCATCGAAAAGTGGAGCCATGTATCTGCGAATCATATTTGCCCACGTTAAATTTGCTGTGATTGGCTGTTGAGTCAGCCTTGCTCAGATTTTCTCACGGCCACTATTAGTGACATTGGCGTAGAATAATGTCTACCAAGTGGCTAGCAGTCAGCTCTCACCACATTTTTAGTATATGGGAGGGGGTTGTGAGAACTTCGGTAAGACAGGAATCGTGAGCGAGAAGGCGTAGAGGTTACAGACTTCAGTGTTCGACTTGGATGCATACTAGCTCAGGAGTTGTCACTTCCAAAAAATTCACACTGGTTTCGATTCCCCTGTGTAAATGGTGAAACATTTCGGGTAGATTTTTTCAGGAAACTGCTCACAAACTTTGAGAATTTGCACCGATACCTGTCGGAAAGGAGACCCGCCTGCCAAATGTGATGCAAATGAGAGGCTTAAATGAATGAAGAAGTCTTCAGTTTGGTCACTGGTAGATAACTAAAGAATAGGGTGAGTAATACAGTTCTTCTGCAAAATCACTGTACAACAAAGTCACTAAATATAAACGAAGTATTTCTTCTCCACATGAACTCATTAGAGATTCTGAGTGAAAAGCTGCGACTCACCCAACAAGAAACCTTAAGTGTGAAGATATCCCCTCTCATGTTTGAAAGTGTCGAGACCCAGGAACTCCATGAATCACACAACTATAACACTGCTCTCGTTCATTTCAAAGTTACTGAAACGTCCGATTTGTAACCACATCACCTGACATACGAACAGTCTCCTCCATCAGCTCTTTTTCTGTGTGACATTTCTCAATAAACTCAGGCAACCAAAAAAAAACCGATCCAGTCGATGCCTGTTTACAAGTGGGACACAGGTGGAAACTAATTGAGCTCTGTCGTCAATATCAAAAAACATTGAAATGTATTTCAAACTGACAGAGGCATCGATTGGGAACTGCACACGTCGCGATGAAAATCCAACAAGACTGGTATTAGAAAACACTCGTAGTCAGATCACAGTATACTAAAGAAAGGGCAACGAAAATGATCTCAGGTCGTCACAATTATATATGATATCCAATTTTGAAAGTTAATATCTTTATTACTATAGAAAAATTCAGAATTCTGCCTGTAAGAGACTCATTATCAAATCATTCTATAAAAAGTTCATTTGATCTTACAGAAATGCTAGACACCTTGAACAATAATGAAAAGGTTATGTGTTCAATCGACATAGAATCTTTATTCACCAATGTTCCCCTTCAAGAAACTGTTGATTTCATTTGCGACTACATCACAAGCAACGGGATAAACTTACCTATTCCTGTAACGTACATCAAGGACATCATCTTAATGTGTACAGAAAATATTCGATTCACATTCCAAGGAAAAGCACACAAACAAATCGACGGTGTTGCAATGGGTAGCCCTCTGGGGCCCCTGTTAGCAGATATATTTGTGTCGAAATTAGAGAAACAAATGCAAGGTATGCTTGGAGAATTTATGCTGTACAAACGTTATGTAGATGATACTCTTATTATTAGTTATAATAGCAAATCTACTGAAAACTTTTTCACCCTATTTAATCATATCCATCCAAATATTCGAGTGACCTCTGAACTAGAATCCAATAGCAAACTCGGTTTCCTGGATATTACTATGACTAGGAGAAATGATGGAACGATTCAGCGCTCTATTTTTTGTAAACAGACGTGGAGTGGACAATATCTTCATTTTACCAGTTTTGTTCCTATCCAGTATAAACGTTCCCTGGTGAAATGTTTGTTCTCAAGGGCTCGAAAAATATGTACGAGTGACACATTGATGGATGAGCTTCGACATATACAATCAGTTTTACTAGCCAATGGTTATCCAGAAAACTTCATTACCTGTCACAGTAAAAAAAAACCACATCTCCAAAAGACAGCTTCTGTACCAAAGAAAGCCATCTTTATTAATCTACCATTCAAGGGCGACCAGATTATGCAGTTGACAGCTCAAAGACTTCGGTCAGCCATCAAACGCACATTCTACGCCGCATCTCTTTTTCTCACTTGCCGAACATTTTCGATCCCTGTACCTACGATTAAAGGACGAAATTCTGTGGACTCTACTTCAAACTGTATCTACAAGTTCACCTGCAGCTGCGGTGACACCTATATAGGTAGAACTAACAGAATGTTCCAATGTCGTCGAAAAGAACATGTTCCAAAATGGCTAGTAAATCATATCGAAAATCCTAACGCGATTAATCTTAGTAGAAATCCAGCATCATCCATTGCAAAACACTTATTAATGTCTGGTCACAAAATCAATATTAATGACTGCTTCACAATTATTTCACATAACTCTAATTCAAGGTTATTGAAGGTGATGGAAGCACTTTGGATTAATCACATACAGCCTAAACTGTGTATACAAAAATCAATAGACTTCAATCTTCGCCTACCCTGGACTGCATGACCTATTCAAATGTGATTGGTCATTAGTATGTACTTTTGTTTTTATTTAACTGAGTAATTTTCATGAACTTTATTTTATCATTGTTAACCATGTTAGTTGTAAAGCGGTTGTAAAGAAACTACGAAATGAAGATATCATCTCGCGAAATTCGTCTTCTTAATGCCTTATTCAAATTTATCAAAGGGACTAATTGTTTTAAGAACTATGCAAGTTTGAATTCATCAACTCCTTGACAAGTGTTCATGTACGCTCTAGTGAATGTTCATAAAATGAGGAAACCGCTGAACACCTGAGAGCAGACCAAGGACTTTGATGAATTTCTAAGGATCATATACAATGAGTCCACTACTCATCCGAAATTAGGCATAATGAATCACTGGTGAAGTCAGGGATGCGTTTCGTCTCACTGAAGAAATGAAAATCTACTGATGTCATTTTATAGATTACGGAAGATAAGTCAAAAGAATAAATCGGTAAGACTTTAAGCAGGGAGGAATCGTGAGCATGTAGAAAAAAGCAGGAAAACGAAAGGATGCTAGTTGACCAGTATAGCAGTACATCAAGGACAAGTGTAGACAGAAAATCAGAAAACTTGGGTGGGTGATTGTAGATGCGAGTGACGAAGAGGTGATGACACTGGGAACAATTTAGTTGAGACTTGAAGTCATTAGCTGATAGACTAGGCACTAGTCAGGTTATTCATCAGCCGTTTAACACAGTACCCACTGGAAGATTCTTATGAGAATAACATTGTTGCAAATCTGGTAGCATTCATCTGATACAGTGGTTGAGATTACTTAATAATTTATAAATATGTTATGTATTCACTCTTAATCATTCCTTTAACAAAGATAGAAGTAACAACTGCACTTGCTCAGTTAAACACTTGAATAAATGATTTTTCTTGTGTCGTTCACCTATCCGTCAAACCACAAATCCTCCCTTCCCAACTACATTGAAGATATTGAAACCATCTTCGTGTTCATGATCCATACGCCTCAATGAGACACCATCACACAAGTCTGATCGAAGTATTCTTCATCACTAGTTTAATCATACGTCTAGGATTATCTTTGTATTACTCAAAAATATACTTCATTCATTAAACTTGAGTTAAGTGAATATCAGCCAGTAACACCGTTCATTCTGCCAGTGATATTACTCCCAACACCTGTCATCTGAAGTGCATTGCATGATTTTATGCCACCAATGAAAATTCTGTCATATATCTATCAATCAATGCAAGGAGGATTACGCTTCTAAAACTATGTTCATATGGAAAGTAATTGAACAGTACGAATAACTGAAAAATGAGAGATTGAAATACTTGGAAACGTGAGGATATCACTGGGAGTTTTGTGAGTATAACATGGAGAACAAACTATGCTGTACATCTATCTCATCATTGACCGTAAAATTACCAATGACAATCACAGCGAAATAGTCACGATTTCATGATTAACCTCATTTGAATAGAGATGGAAAGACAGCGAGAAACCCAAACACGACCAGAGTAAACATTTTCGATGGTTTCGCGGTTAGGACGCTTGCCGACGATGCACATGATCCGGGTTCGATCCTTTACCGACGTAAACCTGATATCTATGTTCGGCCAGCAAAATTTAGCCTACCGATATCACAGGCTGAAAATTCCATACTAGTACAATAAATTACAGTGTGGAATGAAGCTGTAATAAAAAGAATGTCGACTCAGTTGGCAAGAAACACTGAAGCGTCGATGAAGGCGACAATACACAGTAAGAAGGAAGATAAAACAAAACTATTATTTCATTTGGAAGATTTATTCAGCCATTAGCTAAAAAATGATACTATTAAGAATGAAGAAGTTGTAATGCACTGCATCTCATGCTCGCGTGTGTGCATGCATGCCCCAACTTCACCAAGTCTCCAACCAGTCTCAGTACATACCTGAAAATGAGAAATTACAGAAACATGAAAAACAATAATACCACACAAAATCAGAAGGTGAGATAATAAGCGAAGGTGATGCATGTTGAAATACAGAACACATCGCCAACTGACAGATTGACTAAGATGGATCCCTCTCTACTCGAGGAGGTACACTTATTGATTTATAATGAGGCCACCACAGTGATACATGAATAGGAATGTACTAGCCGATTGAATCCAAAACCCGTGTCAATTACTACACCTTGATGACAGATTGACTTGCGTAGCTTGATGAATTCGTCAGCTGACAGAGTATATCATTCACTAAATATAAAAACAACTGAATAATGACTGCTACGATTACTTCTGATGGTGCCTTTCAGATACAATACGACAGTACAAATAACGATATAATGGAGTAAGTGTTTGAGTGAGCGAGTGAATGACTCACTGAACAGGTGTACAACCATATCGACTCACCTAATAGAGATTTCCAGGGTTCTATGGGTTTTCCTTTAGCTGGTCGACCTGCAAACAGATAGATAGATAAATGGATGGATATATTCTAGTGAAGGCGGGAATGAAAATGAAATGAAAATATATGTGCATATCAGAAGATATGGTGCCAACGTGATGCAGTTGGTTCTACGGATTGTTGAAGAGTAAGCAGTAAGCAGATGTGCAAATCAGCATAAGTGCAAAAGTGTAAAAATGAAAATTCTCTTCTTGCAATTGTCATTATAGTACAGGGGAAATAAGGAGTTCACAACAGTGAACTGCAAAATGAGGAGACAGGTATGAAAATCTAAAGGAAGTGTATGTTGAATGAGTAAATAGATGATGCATTTCAGTTGTTCTACACTATCACACAAAGAACCAGGATGAATTCAGGAGTACGTTGATAAGTATGAGTAGTATTAATGATTTTAGTATCAGAAGTTTGACTAATGCTTTTCATTTACAAACAGTGAGAGAACAAAGTAAGATTAAGGAGACGCATATGTAAGTGAAACGACACGATAAAAGTCGAATAGCTGTGTGTACATTATTAGTGACAAGTGGATGTCCGTATGTCAATGTGTGTGTACAGTCAATTCAGACCAATTGTGTGAGATTTTGTATTCAAGTAGTACAGCAGAATTAGTACACTAGGTGACAAAATTTGTGTTATGTGTAATGATGTGGTGTGGAGACCGAGGTAGATTTCGATTTGTGGCAGGACGAGGAGGAGAAGAAGGAGTATGCTATGATGAGACGATGTCATCAGTAGGAAGGCAAACATTGATTGGCACTGCCATGCACTTTTATAGCAATACATATGAGGAGTATTGAATCAAAATATTAGAAGCATTAATAAACTTCAAAGTTTTGCTCAAGTGAAAGAAACATTATTGTTATTAATATAATTTCTATTGTTGATATGATGATAAGTAAGTGGACTTACGATGTGGCTTCGATGGTGATTTACGTGCAAGTGATGCTTCTTTTTTCAATGGTGAACTTGGTGGTTTCGCATCAGCGGCGACAGCCTTCTTCGTAGAAGCGTCATCATCTATGAGATAAGATGCAATAAAATGAAATACGGTAATTTTATTTCTAACTGGTATTAAATAAATGTGGTGGCTTTAACGAGTTACACTACTCAAACAAACGTCAGAGCTCTCATTGCATTTCAGGGAAGTGTTCATGTGCAACTAGATCACTCATTCTCTCACCAACAAACATAAATCATATGAAGGATAATTATATTCGTTTGCGAAGCAATGGGGAAATTTCACGCTGGAGTCTCCAACCATAGACACACACAGAGGGAGTTCGACGATTACGACGAAAAGGTAATGAAAGAGAGTGACAGAGAGAGAGAGAGAGAGTAAAGCAGGATATTCATGATGATCGTCTCCAGATGTCTGACGCAATATGCAGAGTATCTTGTCATGAATGAGTGAGTGTAAGATTGGCTCGTGTATGCTGCACTGGGTGCATTTAGTTCACTTCGGTTGGCATCTTCACTGACAGTTAAAGATACTCAAACAACACGTGAGTAAGATGGAATTCACCTGAAAATTGTGTTGTCTACGTGCTTCAAACGATGAATGAAATACTACTCACGTCATTAAATCACCAACCAATATAAGAATAAATGAATAAATAAGGACGTTTGATGGTGAAATACTCACCTCCATCACACTGAACAACACTTGGATAGGTGACAACTACTGCGAACAATAACAACGCAATCTGTGTCGAGAAAGGAAAATGTAGATGAATACAGGTGAGGTAGTTATTTAGTTGTCATGAATGTCAAGCGAAGAAACAACTCACCAATATCTTCTCCATTTCTGACAAATTCACTTGACTTTACTTCACGTCACGTAACTGAATTCTGATCTCTCAGTCAGTTGCACTCTCTTTTATAGGCTTCGACAAACATCAACCTCTCTATTTGTCAGTTGTTGAGTTCAGTAGAATCTATGTCACGAGTCAGATAGTATGTTTGACAAGATGACCTCTCACTGAATGATTGGTGTCACGTGTGCTTACAACCGACTCACGCCCATTACTTTGTCGTCGACTTCAGTTGACGTGATCTGATAATATTGACTTGCGTGATGAATCACGTTTTTTCCTGGTAGGTGTGATGTGAGGAAGATATTGGTCATGTGACCATCATGATTCTGAGTGTGTGTGTGTTTTCCATGAATTCAGTTAACAACTATCTGTCTTCTCTTACTACTGTGTGTGTGCGTTGATAAAATCGGTGTTCTGAAGAACTGGGACTACGACGTATTCACAAATAAATGAAGGTTGGAGATAGCTGGAGGCAGTGTCATTATCCTGACTTGTTAGGTGAGAACTGGACATACAGTATCACTGATAGTGAAGATCTTGAATACTGAGAGCATGGTAGCAGGAAATCTGACGCAGAATTTGCAAAAGTACTTGTGAATAGCTGCATTCAATAAGTAGTTGGTTTTCGTAAATATTCTATATGTTTGAAAAATCTCTATCTGTTGTGTACTACGTGTTACTGGATTCTCGTAAGGCGAGATGACACAGCATTTACTTCCTCTGTATACAAACCTCGACCTTCTGGATAATTATATGCATTGAATAGATTGTACTACACACTGCTAACATGAATATTTCTTGGATATTTAAACATTATGTAATTCGCTGGCTCTATCCACTGAGACAATGAGAAGTAATACCATTAAGTGAAGATATTTTATTGGTCTAATCCATTTCAATGTCAGATTTTCAAGTTGACATTTTCCATCTCTTCTACACTGTTTCATATATCAGTTACCTGATATGTTGTTAATTTATGCAAGATTCACGCAATATTGTGAAACACATCGAACCATTTGTTCACATAAAGGGGAGTCTTGGATGATTGACACATTACGCTAAAACCTCCGGAACCTTGGACATAATTCTTATTTTCCACAGACTGAACTCGTCGTCGGATAATAGCTGTCTTAAGACAAGCTGATGCGTCGTTGAGTTCGCTAGACATGTTTGACTCTTAAACCATACGATTTTGTTACGGTAGCAGACGACTGTTTAGCCACTGTTTTGTTCGAATTATAAGGGAAGGCCGTACTTCTTTTTCTCGTCTATTCAACACGGAAACGCAAGGTACACATCCACAGTGGTTGAAAACTGCAGAAGTCTCTCGACGAAAGATATTAGAATAATTACTTCAGCCACATTGTTATGAATTCACTAATAAAACATACTTTAGGCCCATTAGTTATTGAGACTGTATGCTGAAGCCGAACTACCTGAAGCAGCATGCGAAATAAACGCCTAGAAGCGAGATAGATCACAGCTTGCTCATCACAAGATATGTGACTCTTCTCCGTAAGCTGTTATTAGGGTCATTAATGAAGGGAGGGATATGAAGAAGTCAAAATGAAATATCGGTTTGATAACATGTCTTCCGAATAACCGCAGAACGATATTAAATGGATTCAGAGTACTTGTTCGCAGAAAATATAGTAGAGTTTAAGTAGCAGTGACTTCAAAAGGAACTCATCAGCATATGATCGACTGATGTCAACAGCTAACCCATACACGTGTTGTAAGAATACTTGACGATTTGACGCAGAGGTGTCTTTTCTCCTCCAAACCACATTTTAATGTTGTTTGCGTAGCCGTGACAATAACTGTCCTTTAGCATCCTTCAATTGACTACTTAATCCTCCTATCCATAATTTGTAACTTCGGCTTTTTCGATAGCTGTCTTTTGCTGTACTTGAACATTCCGCAGATAAATTTCAAGCTCTGTGCTGCAACGGAAAGCGTGGTTTCCTGCGGTAAATCTGCTGGAACGATTGCTTCGCCGGCAGTCTAGCCTCACAATGTCATCCTTGATAAAGCAAATAGTCTTAAAAAGCAGAATTACTTCTTCCTGTCAAGCCATTAGTCTAAGATGATACATTGTCACACTTATCCCATCGATACCAGGTTCTTCAGATGACGTTTACACTCGTCACTGTCAATGCGTGTTTTCTAGACTCTCAGTTTTATCTCCACTACTCCGTATTACGCTACAGTATGTTTAATCATTCCTGATGTTTTCCCTTTGCAACCACCATCACCTAACTTCCATCATATTCTCTCCAAAAATGTGATCCAAACCCTTTCTATATCGATCTATGTTTATTCCGAAAAGACCTTATCAACTAAATATTTCACTCTGACTTCCTGATTTATTTCCTCATTATAGGAGAAGGGTGGGATTTCTGGGAACGAAGATGTTGTGATGGATCTCGCTTGAGAGAGTTTACTCATTATGTCTCTTCTTGTAATTCACTTTCAGGTTAGCTTCTCTCCAATAAACGAATCTAGAAAATGGTCATTTGGCAAAGTTGAAATCCTGTCGACGTGACAACCATCATGCTTACTTCTGTTGATTGTGTTTTGCTGTATTCAACTGCTTCAGATATTTGACGTGGATCGCAGTGTTGAATCGACGGAGAAGTCAAGTTTGATGTTCTCTTCGTATTGTTTCGTAGGTTTTTAATTGATGTTCTGTGTTCATTAGTAAATAATTTTGAGTGTGCTCGAAAACCACTCATTTTCTCACGTAGAATATTCCAATACTGGATTTACCAGAGCTTAGAAAGTGTGTCGTGAAAATGAGTTTGCCGTATCACGTAAATACATGTGCAATCGACATACTACTCATCAGAATTCCATGATATGAGCATCAGCCGTTGGCGATATATGAAATCATGAATCTGCTGAGTTGCTTCATGTGTTATTTTAGTAAACACAAATTTAATGTCACCTGGCAAAATGCAAAGATTGCTGTTGCCACCTCGTCAAAATATTTCATAAATCCATTACTACGAAATTATTCATAAATACTTTCACAATATCCGCCTCAGATTTCGATAGATCCCGCTCTCAGTGTCATGATCTCCGCCAGGAGTGGTATCATATCTAGATTTCTCACTTCCCTAACCAGGGGAATGACACTGCTTCTAGCTATCTTCCATCTTCATTTATTTATGAGTACGTTGTAGTCCAAGTTCTCCGGAATACCATGTTCATCAGCACACACACACACTAGAAATGGAAGTCAGGTAGTTGCTGTTGCTTTCACAGTTATCACGGACACCTGACCAATATCTTCCTCACATCACACCTACCAGGAAAAAACGTGATTCATCACGCAAGTCAATATTATCAGATCACGTCAACTGAAGTCGACGACAAAGTAATGGGCGTGAGTCGGTTGTAAGCACACGTGACACCAATCATTCAGTGAGAGGTCATCTTGTCAAACATACTATCTGACTCGTGACATAGATTCTACTGAACTCAACAACTGACAAATAGAGAGGTTGATGTTTGTCGAAGCCTATAAAAGAGAGTGCAACTGACTGAGAGATCAGAATTCAGTTACGTGACGTGAAGTAAAGTCAAGTGAATTTGTCAGAAATGGAGAAGATATTGGTGAGTTGTTTCTTCGCTTGACATTCATGACAACTAAATAACTACCTCACCTGTATTCATCTACATTTTCCTTTCTCGACACAGATTGCGTTGTTATTGTTCGCAGTAGTTGTCACCTATCCAAGTGTTGTTCAGTGTGATGGAGGTGAGTATTTCACCATCAAACGTCCTTATTTATTCATTTATTCTTATATTGGTTGGTGATTTAATGACGTGAGTAGTATTTCATTCATCGTTTGAAGCACGTAGACAACACAATTTTCAGGTGAATTCCATCTTACTCACGTGTTGTTTGAGTATCTTTAACTGTCAGTGAAGATGCCAACCGAAGTGAACTAAATGCACCCAGTGCAGCATACACGAGCCAATCTTACACTCACTCATTCATGACAAGATACTCTGCATATTGCGTCAGACATCTGGAGACGATCATCATGAATATCCTGCTTTACTCTCTCTCTCTCTCTCTGTCACTCTCTTTCATTACCTTTTCGTCGTAATCGTCGAACTCCCTCTGTGTGTGTCTATGGTTGGAGACTCCAGCGTGAAATTTCCCCATTGCTTCGCAAACGAATATAATTATCCTTCATATGATTTATGTTTGTTGGTGAGAGAATGAGTGATCTAGTTGCACATGAACACTTCCCTGAAATGCAATGAGAGCTCTGACGTTTGTTTGAGTAGTGTAACTCGTTAAAGCCACCACATTTATTTAATACCAGTTAGAAATAAAATTACCGTATTTCATTTTATTGCATCTTATCTCATAGATGATGACGCTTCTACGAAGAAGGCTGTCGCCGCTGATGCGAAACCACCAAGTTCACCATTGAAAAAAGAAGCATCACTTGCACGTAAATCACCATCGAAGCCACATCGTAAGTCCACTTACTTATCATCATATCAACAATAGAAATTATATTAATAACAATAATGTTTCTTTCACTTGAGCAAAACTTTGAAGTTTATTAATGCTTCTAATATTTTGATTCAATACTCCTCATATGTATTGCTATAAAAGTGCATGGCAGTGCCAATCAATGTTTGCCTTCCTACTGATGACATCGTCTCATCATAGCATACTCCTTCTTCTCCTCCTCGTCCTGCCACAAATCGAAATCTACCTCGGTCTCCACACCACATCATTACACATAACACAAATTTTGTCACCTAGTGTACTAATTCTGCTGTACTACTTGAATACAAAATCTCACACAATTGGTCTGAATTGACTGTACACACACATTGACATACGGACATCCACTTGTCACTAATAATGTACACACAGCTATTCGACTTTTATCGTGTCGTTTCACTTACATATGCGTCTCCTTAATCTTACTTTGTTCTCTCACTGTTTGTAAATGAAAAGCATTAGTCAAACTTCTGATACTAAAATCATTAA